TGATGAAGCATGCCTGAGTGACAAACCACTCCGCCGGGTCGGCCTTCACGAGTCAATTTTCGGTGCAACATTATGAATTTCACGCACCTAGTCCTTGTCTCAGCGACCCGACTAGATTCCTCAGTTGGTCTAGCCATACCACGTGTCAGGCCTGACCATTGATCAACATGACGTGCGGCAGTGGGTAGGGACCCCACTCAGGCCACGTCACATCAACTCAGTGGTGTGCTCCTCGATGACCATGACATTAACGGCAGTCCCTCGATTCCCGAGTGCTTTAAGCGGTGTTAGCAGAGATACAAAAAGATACTATGTTGTTATGTGGGAAAGATTTGATGTCGTCGTTCCTCCTCCCGTCTGCATATAAGAGAGAGGAGGAGCCGAGGGGAGGGCTCTTACACATTCCTCTCCACTGCCTTCTTCCTTCTCACGCTTCTTGCTACCATTACCAATGCTTTTGTTGCTGCTCCACTGCACGCTCCACATATCGTGCGCGCCTCCAGCACCATGGCTCCTGAGACAGCCCAGCACCGTCCGATAAAGGGCGGCAAGGCCCCTGTCGCCGGGAAGAGCTCAGCCGGCAGCAAGTTGAAGAATCCATCACTGACCAAGGGGAAGTGGATGCCCTCCAACCCACCTAATCAACACGGGCAACATGCCGCAGCCGAGAACTGTGATTCCTCGCTCGCCGATGATCGAGCTACCAGATGGAGGCTTCGCATGATAGCCCATGCCCAAGAGTGAGGCATATGAGCGGGTTAACTTCATCCTCTTTCTCCTCTGTGGCTTAAGGTACCTAACTTATCCATTCTTCAGCGGCCTACTCCACTTTTCAGGCCTCCAAATACATCATCTCACCCCAACTTCGGTCTACACACCACTTGTTTCATCGGTTTCTGTGAGTGCTTCCTGGTCATCGAGCCTCACTTTCGTCTTTGGAGAAAATACTTCCATGTCAAACTCCAAACCAACGCGAATTAAACTTGCGAGTGTGGGGAAGCTGCCATATGCAAGCAATTCGGATCCGGATACCTGGAAGGGCAGTTTGCAGGGACGAACAAGAAGTGGAAAGAGGGATGCTTTTACATCCGGGGCGATCCTCCTCGTGTCGGCATTGTCACAACTTACACCCCGGTTCCGCCGCCCAAGCGCAACTCTTGGAGCCCATCACCGCCCGTCTACGGTCGGTCGCTGTTAAGGAGCCTCCCATGCGCGGAGCCAGGATTTGGGTATGGGGGGGGGGCAAGTAAACTTGATACAAGAAAAAAAAACTCAATGGATTTTTTTTACTGCAATACTACATTGATGTGTCATTTTGACGCAATTAAAGTATAGTTCAATTTGTAGTATTAGCTAAAGTTTACCCTACAATTGCCAATACGATCAAAATTACTAAAGATGACCTAATTGCTAGATAATTCCCTTCTCAGTGTAGATTATCATGCAATTCAGCACACGGCTTCAATTGGACCGGGAATGATAACTTGCACATTAGTCCCATTAACAATCAGCAGGTTGAGAACTCAAAGCAACATGCATAAAAATTGAATTAATCTTTGTGATGTTTGGCGGCACTTTTCTTTTAGTATAACCGCTAAGCAGATCAACAAAAGAAATTTAAAATAAATTAGCATTGTAACTCACCATTAAAATAACTAAAATTGGATATAGAAATTTCGATGCATCTGATATGAGATTTGAGGGAGAGTAGTAGACAGTACTGATGCTAACCTTGGCTGGTTGACTGGGATGGAAGAGAATTGACCGGAGTAGTATATGCACTCTGCAGGTCGCTCCTCATGGAGCTGGTGTATATATGTTGATTAATCGGACTCAAATCTCTAATCATGGGCAGGGAGTGCAAGAGGCAGGCAGGCAGCGGCAGCCGCCAGCGCCCAGCGCTAATTACT